TGGCCGCACAAAAATCTAATATAAAACGCTCATCAATAAAAGTTAGATCAATATTGTCGCAAGAATGAGGTGTACATTCCGCACCTTAATTTATTTGGTAGTTTAACAGATAAAGTTTTAATTACGAGTCAATTGAAGTTAGACCACCAGGGAAAACCTGGAAGCACTGGACAGCCGTTTCGTCCTATTATGGGACTCCTCAGCAGTGCGCATTCACGATCCCGCCTCGCGAGATTCGAAGCCAGGACCTACCAGTCTCGAGCCAGAGTACTTAACCGATAGACCACTGAGACGGTATCGAGCCGTGTTAATGTCTGAGTTCGAATCTCGCGAGTGCAGGATCATGGATGTGCACTGCTGATGAGTCCCATAATAGGAAGACACAGCCGTCCAGTGCTTCCACGTTTTCCCTGGTGGTCCCAGGGACCCATGAATTCAACTACGAAAACACTGAAATCTCCACAAAACCCCTTCAGATAAATTTGCCTAGAGATGTTTTTGAATCAGTGAGTATTTGATGTAAGACAGTAATATTGCGCTGCAATACAGATGGTTTTAGTTAATAATCGATCGCTAGCTTTATTATTTTAAACAATTAAGTAAAGTCTATCTTTTGATTCATACACCGGAGGACAATAATAGACTTAAAATTTTACCCTGACAGTGAATTGTTCCTCAGCGGTGGTAATTTCGACGATGCTCACATTAAGGTAACAATACAATCAAATTAAAATTATTCTTCCCGGTAGTCACTGTAGAGAATCATAGGAAAACTACCACTGTTTGAAACTTATTCGTGATCATATGCTTTCTCAATGAGAGGATAAATCAAGAAAGTAACAAGTATGTAAAGGGGAATGATTATTTAAAAAGTTATTAGAACAGAAAAAACGAGTCTCTGCAACCATAACTCCAGTGGTTGGTGTGCATACTCTACACTTTTCCCTTATAGATAACTAGGAAACACAATTTACATTTATTTTGGTTTATCAAACCAATCATCGTTTTCTAGAGTATTAATCCGATAATGTAATGATTGGAACCAATAAATTTAGTATTATCATTTAGCAGACACAATACGAGATCGACACTCATCCACATAAATAGCAATCTACTGACTTATTCAAGGTTTTGCACAACACAGCGTAGTAAAGGGATAATTATTAAAATTTCTCCACCAAGCAGATGGATACAGAAGAATTATTTTTTAGTTTTCCGATGACCTTCATTTATTACCGGGTTATATTTCTGTCCTTTTCACATTGGGGCAAATAAATATGATGTTTTGATGATAGCAATAACAAAGATGATAAGAAAAACTATATTGTCCTTATATGTACCTTTCTTTTCATTACTCATGTTATAGATAGTATGTCTCCATGTTAATTTAACAACCCATTATTGATGATTCATTCATTATATCATGTAACCGCAAAAAATCCCACACTTAGATTATACAAATAACTATAAGGGTCTATACATTTTTAAGATAGTTTTAATTATTACCATCATTATACTCTAATGTACACATATGTACTATATTTCTATCGATTCTAACAGTTGAAATGTTGCAAATGAGAAATTGCCGATAATGCCTATTTAGTGAAAGTTTCCCACTAGAGTCATGATGGTTCATTACGATTGGATCTGGAAACGAAGAGGTATCAGAGTAGCTATCATATGAACTAAGAATGTAAGCAATAATGGTTAATGAAAACCAAGTATAATTGGCATTCGGAGTTCTATGGAGACTGACCTAAGTCAGTAACTTAAAGAATAAGCCGTTGATATCCTATCAAAAGTTGAGATAAACATATCATATGGCTAACGGTAATTTTGCAGTTGTTCACAGTCCAGTGAATAGAGCATTGACACTAACCCACCATATTTTATTAAAGCTTTTAAAAACACAACGGAAAGAATTAAGATCCTATCATTATGACAGGTTACGCGAATACCTTAAGTGTTTACATCATGTTTTACTCAGTTAGTGTGCTTACAGTCTGATATAATATACGTAATTTTAATTCAATGGAGTGTGAATGATCTGCGAAATTGATATCGTCCAGTTATTTGTAATATTTTAGCGTGTTTATTTTCATGTTAAGATATTGTATATAAACATGCCATTTCATTAGGAAATTTTTAGTAAAGTAGGGACAATATTAATTGTAGAATACAATGAATCTTTTGTAATTTTAATAGTTGAGATCATGAATCAATTGAAGCTAGATCACAATGGAAAATCTGGAAGCATTGGACGATCGTTTCGTCCTATTGTGGGACTCCACAGCAGTAAGCATCCACGATCCCGCTTGGAACCCAGGACCTATCAGTCTTGCGAGCGCTTAACCACTACACCACTGAGCCGGCATCAAACGGTGTTAATATATAACTTCAACCGATCCACGAAAATGAGCAACACATTCACCATCCTCGCGCTCGAGACTGATAGGTCCTGGGTCTGAATCTCGCGAGGCGGGATCGTGGATGCGCACTTTTGTAATTTGTTACTTTCTTTTCAGTTAAATACAAGCTAACAAATTTGGTTAGTTTGAATCAATGACAATTCAGAATCTGAGAGAAATTAATATTTTAACAATGAAGAATAGAATGTGTAAGATTTAAATATAGTTAAGAATTAAGTTTTTAATAGTTGAGATCATGAGTCAATTGAAACTAGACCACCAAGGAAAGCCTGGACGGCCGTTTCGTCCTATTGTGGGAGTCCTCAGCAGTGCGCATCCACGAACCCGCCTTGCGAGATTCGAACAGAATTTCAGAATATTCCAAGATAATTCTCATTATGTAATAACGAAAATCTATGGGGTTTAGAAAGAAAGGACGTATTGATTGAACTCTCCAGATCCTCATGAAAATTGAAAATTTCGAATTGCTATGAAGGCTATCCACTGACTCTCTAAATACAGAGGTTAGGTTTAGGTCTTATTTAGAAGTCTATTTTCTGATCTTGTCTTCATTCTGAAATTGTATAACTGCTTACATCAGTAATTCATTCTTACGGACTTTTGTTATTCTTTAGTATCGTATCATTGCATCTTGTCTATCGATAAGTATTCTGTTTCAGAATAACGACCGAAAATTCAAAACCACGACAGTGGTGTTGGCGCTAATTTACAAGTTTCAGTTCAAACGGTATCTGATCTCATAAACGCTTGAACAACACAGAATATTAACTCAGACTGATTGGATAAGTTAACATTAAAGGTTGATTTCGATTTTTTCAAAACCAAAGGTTTGTCAATTTGTTTTCGAGAGAGAAGTCCTAAGTATACTAAATGCATGATGAAAGCTATGTGCAAAGGCAAATTAAGTTGAATAACGGTCTTTAACCATCTCTTTACACTACTGTAAACCAGCAGTGGTGTCAGACTTGATTATATTTTGAAGAAGGATGTGAATGAATGCATGATAGTGGCAATGTAGGAATGTTACCAGAATAAATCATTTAATTCTGTGTAAACTTTTTATTCTTGTCAAGTTTTCAAACATGAGTAGTTGAATCATTCTACGCTTGCAGTTAATTAGACGCTGAAATGTCTCTTTAAAACGACTCCCTTTTTATGTCAATGAAATCACTGATTGTTAATGTGAGCTAAGTTGTTTGATGAAGACTACCGTGCAATAACTGCGATCATTGATTGGGGGTATTGTGTGACACGATTCATAAACAGTAACAATAGAGCAAATACGTACAATCTTACTATAGATCTTGAGTCCCAATATTTCGGAATACATACCTTTCCATACTTAATCTTTCCCATAATTGTTGCAACTGCATTATTTCAGCTCCTTTTCTATTCAACTTGTCAGACATTCTGGAAACAGCTTTGATGGACGCAAGTAATGGCGGTGTGGATCTGCTGCCTAGAGAAAGACTTCTCGAACCTGAATATGCGGATGACATTGTCTAACTGTGCGATAATGCCCAAGCCATGCAATCAGTGTCCATAGATACGGTATGTACTTTGCACCTTCGAAGTGCAAAGTAATTCTACAAGACTGTCAAGATTCTAATCCTGTACTCACCCTGGGTGGTAAGCAGGTTGAAGTAGTCGAGAAGTTCGTGTATCTAGGTAACTGCCTAAGTTCTGGTGGTGAGATCGATTAACGTATAATGAAAGTCAGAGTGGCTTATGCCAATCTGGGCCATCTTTGGCGCCTTCGTGATGTAAGTTTGGCTGTAACAGGTCGGATCTACAATGCGTCTGTAAGAGCAGTTTTGCTCCATGTTTGTGAAACCTGGCCTCTCCGAGTTGAGGATGTTAGACGATTCTCTGTGTTTGAGCATCGTTGTTTCCGAAGGATTGCTGACATCCAGTGACAACACCATGTTAATAATGTAGAGGTTCGGCATCGTATTTTCGGACGCAGAAACGAAAATCCAGTTGATGTCACCATCTTGAAACATCGACTTTGGTGGCTTTGACATGTTCTACGAAAATCGTCCCAGAGAATTCAACGTTGTGCATTAGTTGCCGACGCTGAGACTGGATGAAAAAAGTGGAGGTGGTCAGCCTATGACATGGTGTTGTGGTATGAAAGAAAGCTGGCTTCTGTTGGTCCTTCCTGACTCCCTGGCTGGGGTCCGAGAGATGGTGCAAGACAGTGGTTAGAGACGTTATCGGATATGGCTCAGAATAGAAGCCAATGACGATCCTGCTGTAACCTTTTTTACTTTTTGCATAAAGAGTGGTTATAACCTCCTTGCATCTTACCCCATTCTCTTCCCATTTTTATTGGTTTGTGTGGCTCATGTATATCTAGTGTCCCCTTGCACTAATATTTATGTGCTGAAATAAATAAATTCATGTTGTCATACTAAAGCATTAATGGTGAATCGGACAAAATTTAAATTTGAAACAGGCTCTCTGATTAATCATGAGCTTTCCTACTACAAATTTTGTTATTAACTGTTAATGAATTATTATTGATTCCTACAATATTTTCTCCTCAACAAACAAACAAAGAAACAGATTAATGACTAAAAACAGGACTCTTCTTCTTCTTCTAAAACTTTTATAGCTACGTACACAAAAGACAATGCAAAAAAGCGTAGTCAACATCACTTTCAAATAAACAAGTAAGAAAAACAAATCAATAACATCAAAGACAATAATACAGAACATTAATAATGAAGCAGTAAAACCACTATGTATATATAATCCTCATTTTATGAAATGATAAATTACAATGCATTTCTTCAGTCTCTCTTTATTCGACTTTGATGGACTTGAACAATGTATACGACGTTAATATACCATCATATGGATGAGTTTGATGTATGATCGTTATTCATCGATAACATGATGGGATTAAAGAAGTGAAAAGAAGACAACTGTACATTTTTTTATGTCTGGATCATTGAACCTAATTTAAATACAAAATTGAGAAAATATAAAATAAGGAAAACAAACAAACAACTGGGATAATAAAGTTGACAAAGAGGGGACTTTATAAGCAACACACCAGGTCAGTGGGTATTCTCGATGGGACAATAATTCTTTGCAGATATGGTAGGTCAATGCAAGAAAATGTGTTTATATATGTATAATTAAGGATAGAAAGAAAATTGAAGTACAGATTACATCAGTGTACGAATGCATGCAAAAAGAAATAATTGATTGTTGGAGAAGCAACGGATTAAACAGTGGGATTTCTCTTTTTTATTTTATTTTTTACCTGTATCCATTTTCATGACTATGTGATTGTTTGTAGTGTTTATGATGTGAATGGAATCGGTGGTCTTTGGAATCACGTGAATCTTGTCGATATTTTTTATGATGATGACGGCGACGATGCTTGTCATGGTGATGATGATGATCAGAAGAAGGTCGAGGCAAACTACTGCTACGATCAAGTTCCCGATCGCGATAACTGTGATCGTGACGGTTATCGTCGGAACCATTCCATGAATTATGATGGGAAGAACTGTGTTTAGATGAATGACGACTTTTATGCTTTTTCTTATGACGTTTATGTTCATCTGATGAAGATTTATCTTTATGATGTTTTTCGGATTTTCCATTATGATTGCCGGGAACCCGTGCAATACAAGAGTCGGAGCCACTGTGTGATGTTCGGCTACGTTTGGGAGGAGGTGGTGAAACATTTTTATCACTGTCCGATTCCTTAAAAGTGAAAGAAGCAAAAATTGTTATTAACGAATAAATAAACGGTGTTTATTATGTTCTAGAATTGGTGACCACGTAGCCTGTGTGTTAAGCAACTGTTTTACTAACTATGAACCTTCAATCTATCGAACTAGATGGAAGCGATGAAACAATTACAAGGCTAGAGGTCGACCGGAGAAGGCGACCAACATGAGCACGAGAATAATTGAAGACAATGAAACCGAAGAACACAACCAGTTACAAACAAGACTATAGGAATAAACAGGTATAACTGTTGTGGAATAACAAAACTTTGCCGCTACATAGTATTAGCACTGATGTTGTCGAGAGAGACAATAAAAGCTAGGCAATTATATAATGTAATGTGGTTATAGACTGGGTCATTATTTGGGATGGCAAAGCTGTATTCACTTATTTGTATCGGTTATATTAGGTAATGAACTAACGAAAATTCAGTATTCTTTTTACAATCATGATGACTATGCTAATGCAATATAGGGTATGACGTCTACAGTGGTTCAAACGTTTGTGGCCTAAAATCCCATAAACCTTAAGTAGTCAGTTGTAGAGCGATAATATCAAACTGTACAGTATCAAAAGCCTATAAAATTTCAACTTTACAAGTGAAATTATATTAGTTATGGTATCAAGGTGTTTGCAACAGTTAATAAGAACATGTTTTTTGTCAATAATGGATGCTGATAAAACGCGGTCTTTTTAATTAGAAAGAATAAGATTGATGTTGGATATTTTTGTGAAGTGAAAAGTGATGTCACAAACTTATTTCCCTACGTTGACAGCATAAACAGTAAGAATATAAGTAGTAAAGGGTACTGAAATAGTTCTGAACTTGAAAGTATACATTAGACAAAGTGGATTTACTTACTTACTTACTTACGCCTGTTACCCCTCGTCGAGGAGCATAGGCCGCTCACCAGCATTCTCCATCCAACTCTGTCCTGAGCCTTCCTTTCCAGTTCTTTCCAGTTGCTATTCATCCTTTTCATATCGGCTTCTATTTCCCGGCGTAGTGTGTTCTTTGGCCTTCCTCTTTTCCGCTTCCCTTCCGGATTCCAAGTTAGGGATTGAGTCGTGATGCACATTGGTGATTTCCTTAATGTATGTCCGATCCACTTCCAACGTCTTTTCCTTATTTCCTCTTCAGCTGGAAGCTGGTTTGTCCTCTCCCATAAAACGCTGTTGCTGATAGTATCCGGCCAATGGATGTTGAGTATTTTGCGTAGACAACTGTTTATAAATACTTGTACCTTCCTGATGATGGCCGTAGTAGTTCTCCACGTTTCAGCTCCATACAGTAGGACTGTCTTGACGTTCGTATTAAAGATTCTGACCTTGAAATTGGTTGAGAGTTGTTTTGAGTTCCATATGTTCTGCAATTGTAGAAATGCTGCCCTTGCTTTGCCAATCCTCGCCTTTACATCTGCATCCGATCCTCCTTGTTTATCAACGATGCTCCCCAGGTACTTGAATGTTTCCACCTCTTCCAGAGTTTCGCCATCAAGTGTGATTGGGTTGGTGTTCTCCGTGTTGCATTTGAGAATATTGCTTCTTCCTTTGTGAATGTGGAGGCCTATCGATGCGGAGGCTGCTGCTACATTTGTTGTCTTCATCTGCATTTGGTCGTGTGTATGAGAGAGGAGGGCTAGGTCATCTGCGAAGTACAAATCATCTAATTGATTCTGAGCTGTCCATTGTATTCCTTATTTCCCTTCAGATGTCGAATTCTTCATAATCCAGTCAATCACTAGAAGGAAGAGGAATGGGGAGAGTAGACAGCCTTGTCTGACTCCGGTCCTTACTGGAAATGCATCTGTCAGCTGTCCTCCATGCACCACTTTGCACTGTAATCCATCGTATGAGTTTTGGATAATGTTGACGATCTTCTGAGGAACTCCATAGTGTCGAAGAAGTTTCCACAATGTTCTCCTGTCCACGCTGTCAAACGCCTTCTCATAGTCGATGAAGTTGACGTATAGTGATGAGTTCCACTCAACTGATTGTTCAACGATGATCCGTAGTGTCGCAATCTGGTCTGTGCACGACCGATCCTTACGGAATCCAGCCTGATGATCCCTAAGTTGGGCGTCTACTGCGTCTTTCATCCGATTCAGCAGCACTCTGTTGAAAACTTTTCCTGGTACTGATAACAAACTGATGCCTCTGTAGTTCTCACATTGGCTCAGATCTCCTTTCTTTGGTATCTTGATGAGATATCCTTCTTTCCAGTCCGTTGGCACTTGTTCCTCTTCCCAAATCTTTTTGAATAGAAGGTGAAGCATGTTTGCAGTTATTTCAATGTCTGACTTCAGTGCTTCTGCTGGTATATTGTCAGGTCCTGCCGCCTTCCCACTTTTGATTTGTCTGATGGCCATCTTGACTTCTTCGATCGTTGGTGGAGTGACATCTATTGGAAGGTCAGTGTGGGCTGCTTCGATGTTCGGTGGATTCGATGGGGCTGGTCTATTCAGCAGTTCCTCAAAGTATTCTGCCCATCTTTTCCTCTGTTCTTGAATCTCAGTGATTGTCTTTCTTTCTTTGTCTTTGACTGGTCTCTCTGGTTTGCTATATCTCCCTGCCAATTTCTTCGTTGTATCATATAGTTGTTTCATATTCCCTCCTCTTGCAGCTTTTTCCGCCGCCGTTGCTAGTTCTCCCATGTATTTCTGCTTGTCGGCTTTAATGCTTTTCTTCACTTCTCTGTTTGCTTCTGCGTAGTCTGCTTGTGCTTTGACTTTCTCTGCTCGTATTCGGCTGTTGTTAATTGCTAGTTTCTTGTTCTTCCTTTCTTGAAGTTTGTCCAGGGTCCCCATAGAGATCCATTCCTTGTGATGGTGCTTCTTAGGACCAAGAACCTCCTGACACGTTGAAGTTAGTGCTTCTTTTATCCCTTTCAAGTTGTCCTCCAAAGTAGTTTCTTGTTCTTTCAGTAGATCCTGTAGAGCTTGGAACCTGTTGTTGAGAGTTATCTTGAATTCATGGAGTTTGTCAGTATCTCGAAGGAAGGCTGTATTAAACCTTTGTAGTGCTGTCTGTCCAGTTGTCCAGTCTTTCTTTAGCTTCAGTCTCATCTTGGCCACAACCAGGTGGTGATTTACGGTTGCATAAATATAGAGTCAGTCAGTCAGCTACAACATAGGACCAGGCACATATAGAATATTACATTTAGAATGAATTAACTTATAATCTTTGGTAAAACTAAAAGTAGAATCCTGAGAACAACTGCTCTTCAATAGAGTTTACTGTTAAACTACAGTCATCGAATGTAGAGCTTTATTATAAGCATCTTTAAAAACAATGATTCTATGTGGTCAACTGGTTCTAAGCGAGAAAAGTGTATGAAGATAACAGTTTTAAGGAAAGTAGTGTTGTTAGCTGTATGTAAAATATTTAATAAACGCTCAATGCCACAAAAACAAGGAGTGTCATGATCTGTTTTCAGTTACGTGATTCGGAATATCCATGCGATAGTGGATGCAACGTAGAAACATTCTTCAGCCGAACTTCCTGTATACCAGTAACGATGAATCTTGACACAACTCTCAACTATCAAGAAGACAAGAGTAAACAATAGATTTACTTTAATTTCAACTGAAGGTGCTACAAAAGGAAAAGTGTGAGTATTTATAGATTTTGAGAACCAACTAATCAGGGACAAGGTTTTAAAGTTCCTAATTCATCTGTACGGAGGCTACTTAAAATTCAAACAGGAGATTATTGACTGACCCTTATTCAATTTAGATTATTTTGATTAGACTAAAACACTCAATCATACTTTTAAGAAAATTATAATTTACAAAAGATGAGAACAAATAGAACATATAAATAGTCAACATTTACCTCGTAAGAATAGTCCACTAAAGGATTCGTCAATTCACGTTGTTTATCTTTTAAGCCTACAGTATTAACTGAAGGTGATTGAGATGAAGTGGTTTGTACTTTTGTAGTACTGATTATGGTTAGATTATCTGAACTATTACTAAGATTAACTGATGATTGTTCATTAGTCAGATTTTTATTACAATGAGATAATGTTGTTATTGATGAGGATGAGGATGAAGTTGATGACAATGATAAAACAGGCTCGTTTATTGGTGTTGGACGTTCTGTCCATAAATTTGATGATGTTTCTTTACCATAGAGCAACTTAAAGAGAGAGAAAAGCAAAACCAAATAAAGTGAATATTAAGAATACATGGATTGCAGAAAACAATCTGGGGAAAAAACAACGTACAGAGGGGATTCACGTGAATAGTATGCATACATTTTTAACGTTAATTACAAACTTATACAAGTTGGAAACAACAAAGATTTACAGTTGTCAAAAAAACATTATCAATCTGTACATTCATCTTAGCGGGCTCCTCTTAATCGACATAAGAAAATAGAGATCATTCAAGTAGAACAGATTTGATTGAGGTCATGAATCAATCAATGTTAGACCACTATTGAAAAGCTTGAAGCACCAGTCAGCTGTGAGTAATTGTCTCACACGCCACACGGATTAGCCCCACTGATCATGGCCCCAAACTAGAACTTTGAAAATTACCTCTCCAAGTCAGTCATTAGTGATTACATAATAATTATCGGTATAGGGTTGTAGAGATTGTTGAGTTTTTACTGAGATCATGAAACGATCAATGTTAGACCACTATTGAAGATCTGGAAGCACTGGATGGTTGTTTCGTCCTAGTATGGGAATCCTCGGAGGCGCGCATCGGATTTGAGTGACTTCAACACAAATGGAAATTTTAGGTAGTTAGATGTAGTCGTCGCCCCCAAATGCCCTGGTACGGCCAAGAGTGGGGAGAGTCAGCTCTCCCTCTCGAAATACTCTCATATGGCCAGCGAATATATAGCCTCTGACAGGGAAGTCCTACTCACTGCCTTCTCGTGGCGGGAGTGTTGTTCACGAAAGTGAGAGGACGAAAAGCGAATGTCCGGCGCTCTAACCGGGTTGGTGGACACGGAGAGTTGGAAAACCCTGATTCCAAACCAATGGTGAACAGGGGTTCCAGTATCCTGATGGAACGAATGGCGGATGAACCTGTCATTGGTCAACGGCTACCATGGGACTGCATCTCCTCACGATGCTCCACTGCCTTGTGGATCAGACATTCAGGTCAAAGGCTCCGGGTGTGGCCCCCTAAGAAAACCACCTGCTTCAGTCTGGGCACCTGGGCAGTATCACAGCCCTCACACAAATCGAATGAGATTTGTGAGGCGCATATTTATCCGGTGCTTCATTGTACCAATATTTATGTGTTTAAATAATAAATAATAATAATAATATGTAGTCGTCACGAAGCTATAGACCTAAGTTTTCTGCTATTCGACATTCAACAAGGTACACCTGCGATCTTGAGGTGAAGGCTTCACCTTTAGAGACGTTACCACTGTTCTATTTGGGCTGCGAATGACCTGGTGTATGACGGATGTACTTACAACTGACTTATTACTGAGTAGTGACCAATGCCACTAGGCAACAAAAAGACAATATACATCTTTCGAAGTGGAAACATCGAGAAAGTGTACAACCAAGTAGTGACGCTATCACAAAAATATGGCATAAAGCAAAAATGTTGCTTAGAAATAACCATATATAAAACGTTGGCAAAAGAGAGAAATGCAGACTTTTTGTTTAACATGAAGCATTTTTTTTATAGATAACGAAGCTTGATAGTTGATTTACTAAGGTGTATTTGAATAAACTAGTGCACGTTCTTTGTATTTGTCATTAGGCTACACTTTCTTTCATGTCTAAGGTGTGTATTATCATAAAGCTGATAGAACTAAGACAGATGGAACAGTGTTTGAACATGCAATTGACTGAATGAAAGCTGAATATAATTTGATTGTGAAATCATCACAGTGTTTATATGTAATAATGATTAATTTGTACATTACTATGTGCCTAACTGAAATTACAAAATACAATAGCTTCGAGTGTGTTCTATTACTTGAGTGCTGGTTTATTCATGACCACTGGAGTACAGATTGAACAATCCTGGGATATACTAATTAGCACATCAATTGGACTTCCTTTACTCACCACATAGTATCCCCTTTATCAAGCTAGAATTATGATAGTCTTTCTTGAGTTGATTTAGGTTTATCTGAATATTTCTGGAAGTTAAGTGAATGTTATCTATTTTACCCATCATAATGTACGTTACAATGAGAGTTTTAGATAATGTACTGCATGGAAGTGATATTCAGTTCAGCAAGCCAGTCACTAGCAAAAAAAACCCTGGCATATATGTGGGGATCGGTTCAAATTGCCATATCATGGCACGAAGAATAGTAAGTACCCGTAATAGCAGGAAAAATTAAACATAGACGGTATAATTCGAGCAGAACAGATACGTGGAATAAAAAAACAAGATGATTTTGGAAATCAGAATCGAAGGGAAGACAAAGTAAGCGCACTTAGACCGTTAAGACCAATTGTGGACTATGTCACTCATATCCAACAATTGATGATGGTTATTTTAACCTATAAACATTCACTTAAAAAGCTGGTTACATTACTACTAATCATGAAAAATAAATACAAAACAACTAAAGATAGAATCTAACCTCCCGGACAGTGGCCGCTGATAAAGGGATCGATGTCGTCGTACTACTACTAGTACTGCTGTTAACTGACGATACTGTTGACACAATATTTGAATGATGATTCTTACCACTTTCTATAATATCTTGAATACTTTTATTTTTTGAAGGAAGAGACATTGAATTATTGAGACCATTTGATATCGATGTAGAAGAAACAATTGGTAAGGCTGAAAAAAAACACAAAGAAAATAGTGATTAAATGAATTTTAATATTTACAAATCACAAACAATAATATAGTGAACAAATAAATAAACAGTGACCAGTGGAGTTCAAACCACGTCTGTTATGAGATATCAACTCACTGAAGATAATTGGTGAACGGTTGCTCAACTTCGTGGATTAGTTGGACTTAGATATAAACGCCATGGTGGGATGCCGGCTGAGTGGTCTATCGGTTAAGTGCTTTGGCGCGAGACTGGTAGGTCTTGAGTTCGAATCTCACGAGGCGAGATAGTGGATGCGCAATGCTGAGGAGTCCCACAATGGAACGAAACGGCCGTCCAGTGCTTCCAGGTTTTCCCTGGTGGTCTAGCTTCAATTGACTCACGCTTTCAACTATGAAAATACTAAATCTCCACAAAAACCCCTTCTGAAAATAAATAAAACCTGAAACATGAGACTATACAATATATTCACAAGTGTTTGATTAACAAATGTAATTTTTCTATCACTATAATGCGAATAATATGATACACTATTCATTATACACATATGTCAGTTTGGGACGCTAAAACAGATGAACAGTGTTCGGATAGGACAATCATCAGAAAGTAAATATAAGTCAGTTAGTCTGATTTAAGGTGTACAATTTTTAATAATCTTATCGAAAAGTGATAAATTACAATCAGTAACTACTATCCATTCATAATTATTAATATAATACCTGAAACAAAATGATTTTAATCCCTAACATATTATATTACTCAAGTAAGATTATATCATTTTACATAGGTTTTATCAAACATTCTGATAGACTGATATATACAATTGAATATGAATAGAATCCCAAGAAGAAGAGCATTGAATTAGATACAGATAATAATTTCATCTTTGTACTCGCTTTGGTGGTACATATACTAAAATTGGAACGATACAGAGAACATTAGCATGGCCCCTGAGCAAGGATGCCACGCAAAATCGTGAAGCGTTCCATATTTTTTTTTAGAGACTCTAGGTGACATGGCTCAGAATCGATCACAATGACGTAGGTGTATACACTCTTTATCTTCCCTTAAACCTTGAGATTAAAATTGCTTCATATCTCTCTTCCTTCCTGTACTGTATCCTTATATACAACCTATAATTTATATACTAACACCACTAAATTAACTACTTCTATGAATTCAGTGTTCATCTTGTCGTGCTAACGAGGTATGGCAACTTGGACAGATGCATAAATGTGCCTGGTTCTACGTTGTAGCTGACTAACTGACTCCATCTTTGTAAGTCAAATAAAAAGGGACCATGAAACAATTGAAAAATAAGTTGGCAAAATAGCAAAAGAATAATTCACATCCAAGTTAATCAAATAAATAGGATCAAGAAACTGATTGTACAGAGGTGTAACAGCAGTAAGGTGTTTCCTTCAGACAACCAGCATAACAGCGATGCTGTCTTCCCACAAGGAAGGGTGGGGTTAGAAAAGGTCGACCCTAAAAATGCATACCTCGCCTTATTCCACGGATTTCCGTATCCAGAGGTAAGGTCGCCACGAGTACGGAGCTAACACAAAAACTACCCACAAAAGGGTCGTGTGTGACCGACCTCAAGCAGTTTTCCCGTGGGCACTGCGGTCACGCTCTCAGGTCACTAAGACCACCTCTAACCCTATTTCGTTCACATATACCTCTAGAAGAACCCTCCCACGGTGTGAGGAACCGGGAAATGATAACCGACTTCATACCACTGACTGACCTTACTAAATCTAAAATAGTCACCTAAGTATATCACACTAGGAGTCAATATGTTAAGTGCATGTTAGTCGATTTAATTTTGAAAATATCAACAGTAAGGAATTGCGACTTTTTTTAAAAACGTGTCTGGTAAAGCCAAGTACTGAAAAATCAACACACTACTTGCTATTCAAACAGGCCAAAAGAAATTGAAAAAAAGTAATCTGTCAAAGAAGAACCATGTGCAGAAAACTTATAAAGTAGATAACTTACGTAGGATGTTTATTTTATTTAATGAAAGTTTAGGATTAAAAACAATTTTCGGTATGGATGATACCGTGCTTGTAGTAGAATTACTGCAACACAATGAATTAATTGTTGGTGTCTTAGCAAATGAAGTACTCGAAGAAATAACAGATGATACGGTAACAGGTAGTAAATTTGTTTGTTTTATGGTGTTAAAAGATTTATGATTAGTCTGTGTGGACAATGACGATGATAATGGTAAATAAGGCTTTGTAGTAGACTGTTGTTGTTTGACTGTATCATTAACAGGAGATAACTGAGAGTTATTTAGCTTCGGAGTATTAGTGTTAAGTGAAGATTCCTTAGAGGTTACTGTACGAGTAACTGTGCCGTTAGTTGAACTACGAACCTACAAACAAACACAGAACACAAACAGTGAGCGTTTACAGTAAGCTTACAGATCAAAATGAAAATAATCTGACATTTATATGATATGGCTAAAGTTTATAATGGAATGGATTAAAACAAAATCGGTCAAATACAATGCAGAATTCAGCACATACGTATATCAATTCAAGTCCCCAGACCATATTACCACAATCAGATGAAATTATCAAGACATATGTCAAAGTAGTGGGAGTGGTAACATCAGAAGTGATAGTAGAAAAAAATGAGACACCGGCAATCATTCGGAAAGAACAAATGAATTTCTAGAGTAAAAAGTATGAGGTGGTTACGAAACTCAGAATGTCAGGGAAAACAAAGAGTAAATACATCTATGCTATTGTGACCAATTCACAGCGACGTCACCGAAAGTCCTCCCATTAGTGGTTACAATAACCACATGATTATTCAGTCAGCTAGTGTGAACCTACCAACATGAATCAGATCAACAGTAAATTACTTCTTGAACTGATCTGGTTGCCTCTAGCCTTCTTCCACTCTACCTCTACAGCAGCAAGCGTCGTCTATCGGGGTAAGCAGGGGTTGGAGATACGTGTTATGGTAGACTTAGGACAATAAAAAATAGTCACAAAACAATAGGAACAACCCTTTGATAAATCAATTTCAATCAAGTAATTTAATTGAATTTACTGTAATTACAATTGGGCGATACGACCATGTTGAGATGAAAATATTTCACAGAGAAAAGTGCATTAAATATGAGCATTAAAAAAACTTCGATAAAAATTCTTGAATTTGGAAACGAAACGTGCATCTGGAGGTAAACAGACAATATAGCTTGATATTATTGTAAGAACTATAGTTTCATATAATCCTTGATCTGAGATTGGAGCAGATATCATGTTTTTCTAGCAATTAAAACTACACGTTTGAACTTCATCTTGGCTATTTGGTGATGTATTTTGAATTGAATAGCTTCATTGCGATCTTTTCAATGTCATTTAAAAAGTAGAAACATTTACGTCAATTTAGGAGAGAGGTGAATATTTTAGAGTTACTTCAGATTTCCATCTGAGGTTTGCGCTGATTATATTATTCAGAAGGAAAATGAAAGCTCCACGACTAAATCATGCAGCTCAGAGAATGAAACTCTATCAAAAACTACTTTAGAAATGTTGCTACACCTTCTCCATATTCCATTCCAGTAATTTGATTGGCGATTTAGTTTTTTTAGCGATTATTATTTACCTGTTGTGAGTAGGTGAGAAGGAGAACGTTTTCTTATTTACTTCGTTGTGATACTTTAGTTTTCACATAATGTATAAACTACAGCCTGGTACACAGACCTATATTTAGATAAGTTATACAAAATTAATGAAGTAGTCAGTAAGAAATTGGAGTGAATCATAACATTAAAATTTCAGTTTGCAATTTCCCCTAATCAATACATGAAAGTAAGAAATACAATTTAAAAACAAATAATACAGTTGATGAGAACAAAGTCAGTAACCAAGCGCAAGTTAGTGCCATAAAATAGAAGGGTATAAGAGTAGTTAATATCATAACTCTCAACTATCTAGAATTAAGTACTAGGAGTTAAGTTCGAGAAATGAATGAGCTTAGATCGATGAGTCAATATTTACATGGGTAACGAAAGAAGAATGAGGAGTATAAGTATCATAACTTACCGCTTCATAGAACAGTAGGTAGGGTGATTGACGTAAAACATGGTCAGTATTTGTTGTTGAAACCTAAAGATCGTAAAACAAGACAACACATAACCGAAGTACCACTACAAACAACAAATTAAAATAGACACTAATAACACGATGTAACACTAACAATTAGAATGAGACTCTTGCTAATTGGGCACTGATAATCATGGTACTTCAAGATAATATTCGAACCAATTGTGATAATCGAACAGTGTAAAACTTAGTGAACTAATGCGTTCGACACTATTACCGGTAGTCTTTATACAATAAACTAGGTTATATATGAAGACTTTGAGATTTCAAAAGTGATTTAACGAACAGTCAATAGATTCAATGATGATGACTGACCACATTTAAAGCCATCTACATATATCTTTGCTAGTTGAAGGTAAAAGCCCAAATAGTAGTGGTAGTACAATATAATTGGACCTAAATACACCATAAACCATCTTGAGTACTACTAAAATTGTAGTATATGATGTAATGTTAACCAAGCGTTTCAACTGACATCTATTTCTGTGGTGTACTAACTAACGTACTAGGGTAGATGCAACTACCTACTCAGTTAAATAAAGTTGTTAATACAATTACTAGCTTCACCGTGTATTATCAAAATCCAATATCTAGATCAAAACATCACATTCATCATTCAGTGAGTGAAAAACACATTCCGATCATCCTAAAAATAAACCGCTCAAGATTAGAGTACTTAAAAGAGAAAATCAATTACAAATCTTGGTGAATTATTTCTGTTATGCCGGTTGAGTGCGTGTCCAGTTTATATACGACGTGATATGACCGCCCAATTAGTGAGCAATGAATTTATCGATCGGAGCAATGATACACAAAAGCCGTCTTGAGTACTTATCAGTCCTGCTTTCTGCCTAGCCAAGCCAGTTAAGTCCAGAACACCAATAACAACCTCTGCAATATGAATCATTATTCTCAAATATACTGGGTTTATATACCAATTAAACTGATCACATCGCACCATAAAATAGAAAATAACATTTGTACAAGATTTAGCCAAATGTGGCTGTGAATAGGGGGAACAGTAATTAATAGACTGAGGATAACTCAAGAATGGTAAATCGTATAGTAATAGTTCATAGGTCAAAATAAAGCATATGATAAGATGAACATGAATATGAATAGTTTAGTTACTTAACAATTATACATTAGGAAATATACATATCACATTGCTCCATAGATAGTTCTCAAAGTTACCATTCATAATTCTCCATGGGATACAACAATTTATTAAAACCAAACCAAATAAAGACAATAAGCAACATTTATGAAATGTATTTGAACTTACAAAACTATCATTAAGTGATAACCATTGACCATGACGTAGAGTAAATGATACATAATGTCCACTACGACAACTATATCCTTCATGATTTACTATAGCATATAATTTATATAATATTGGTAAACCTTTTGATTGTGTCATAAATGGACGTAAATTAAATGATGAAGGAAAATCTACACGTATATCAAGTTTTTGATGACGTGAAAATCTACAAAATTAAATATAAAATAACAATAAAGTTTGCCTGGTCATAATTGTCCATTAGTAACAATAGAAGTAATAATAATAACTCAAAGAACAGTCAGACGAATAATTATTAACCTTAGTATTTTTCCAGTTATCTCAGTCAGTCACAACGTAGAACTTCGTACTTACGTACATCAGTTCGAGTTGCCATACCACATTAGCACAGAGATGAAGTTGTCGATTTAAATCCCATAGTGGTAGAAGTAGTAAAGGTATAAGCATTATGTGAAAGATTAGGGTTTGAAGATGTTATTGAAGGAGTATAATACAGTGAAATAAATTTGGAAAGAGATAAAAGGATAGAGACATGAAGAATTCAGAAGATTAGAATTTTCTACAACACAAAGAGTGGATGTACCTTCGCCATTGCAAACGATTTTGAGCCATCTCATTCAAGGTCTCTAACCATCGATTACTATCACATCGCGAATCCCAACCAGGTAGTCTACACCTACCAGCATGGCTCAGTCGAATTTGCAAAATGAAATCGTAAGGATTTGGACGACAAACATAAGACTACATAAAATAGATAGCTAATTTTACGCTTCTTGACATGTAGACTTTCTGCAATGATTAACAATTCGACATACGAGTAACATTTGGCTATAATGAAGCAAAACTAAGAACACACAGAGGTCAGTCAGTTAGCTACAACGTAGGACCAGGCACATATATACATCGATCGAAGTTGCTACACCTCATTAGCACAAGAAGGTCAACAGCAAATTCATAGAAGTAGTGTTGATAAAACAAAAACAGTTAATAGACTTAGCTGAAGATGCTAACAATGTGGAGACATATGTAGGGGAGACTGTGAGATATTAAAAAACTTAAGCTGATTTGCCAGATGTATTGCTATTTAATGAGGTTTGCTATTCTTTACATCAACTCTGGTCTTAATTTAACTCTCGTATTAATTTCTTTGCACAACCATATAAGGATAGCCATCATGTTTTTTTCGATAAACCAACAATAACATGAAAAAAGTAAACCCAGTTGAATTAGACAAGAGATGTAGTGAACATGAGGGGAGGAATGAAGAAAAGGTAATAAAAGAGGGGGGGTTATTACATAATTAAAAATTACTGTAGCTTACAAACACAGGTATACTCAAGTTTTCTCACCATATATTATATGTATATGTAATACACAGGAAGAACATCATGGATGGTAGTCGATGTTTTAATTTCTGGGGGAGTGGATAATTGAATTGCTTTTTTCGATTGTGATTTGCATTTCATCTCTTCAATACAAAACTTCATCACTTCATAAGATACATATATATACATATAAATTTATACGTTTATACGTATACATATTAGTAGTATACACAAAGATTTCTTTTATTAATGAATGTATAATAATATCAGAGTATATGGTTAATCTTTTCAATGACCACAAACTTCCATTTCTATGGTTTCTAAATACGTATAAAACGTAATGAAAATAAAGGAATTAGTCTTATACACAAAAATGTGATTATAATTGAGTTTTCCATGAGAGTAGTGTATATATATATCCATACATTCTAATTGCCCCTAAAATGCCCTGGTACGGTCAAGAGTGGGGAGAGTCAGCTCTCCCTCTCGAAATGCTCTCATACAGCCACGCGTATTTAGCCTCTGACAGGGAAGTCCTACTCACTGCCTTCTCGTGGCGGGAGTGTTGTTCACGAAAGTGAGAGGACGAAAAGCGAATGTCCGGCGCTCTAACCGGGTTGGTGGACACGGAGAGTTGGAAAACCCTGATTCCAAACCAATGGTGAACAGGGGTTCCAGTATCCTGATGGAACGAATGGCGGATGAACTTATTGTTGGTCACCGGCTAACATGGGACTGCATCTCCTCACGATGCTTCCCTGCCTTGTGGATTAGACCTTTAGGTCAAAGGTTCCGGGTGTGGCCCCTTAAGAAAACTACCTGCTTCAGTTTGGGCACCTGAGCAATATCACAGCCCTCACACAAGTCGAATGAGATTTGTGCGGCGCATAGGTATCTGGTACTCCCTTGTACCAATATTTATGTGTATAAATAAAATTTGAAAAAATACATTCTAATTATGTAAGTAGATTGCTTATTCGACATGTATACTTATTTGGTAAAACTAAATGTAATTATATTTAGTAAAGCATATTGATTATCATTATAATATATCCATATTGTATTTGACAAGCTGAAGTACAGATCTATCATCAGGTAGCGCGAACATATGACTCGATATTAGCAGACAGGAATATTTGAAATATACTGCACTCATGCTAATGAAAGGTCATAGGGAAGCAACAGAGTTTGCCGACTTGAATTTCGTTATATGAGAGGATTATAATGGGGGGGGGAGCACTAGTAATAATAGTGACTCATCTACTAAATATAGGTGCCAGACTAGAAATTATACTTGTTGTGTGAAGGCTAAAGATTTTAACAACCTGACCAAAGTAGGTGGAGCTGGATTCGAATCCAAGACCTCACTAGTCCAAAGTGATCTAATCACTCTACGCCATGGCAGTCATCAACACAAAAGTGTTAACTGATGATTATTCTATTGATCACCGATTGATGATATGGTTAAATTAAGCACCAAATAGATTGAATAACAATAACAAAAAGACAGGTTGCCCAGGCATTTTACACGAAACCTACTAATATAGGCACCAATGTTTAGCTAAAGAGGTTGGATAGAATGAGAACGCGAAAAAGAGAAGACGGTTAATTATATCTGAGAAATAAAGATTTATGTGGTACACTTCGTATGAAACTTATTGAATGGAGGTTAAGTGCATTAATCAGTCGTCGGAAGTGAAGTAGATTAGGTTTTCGATTGATGACTTAATTAACTGAAGACGAGTAATGAAACCAGTGAGACATTTTTTAAATTAATTTTTAACATTTTATCCTTTAGTGTCGAATACCATTATGGTTTTTTCAAGAAATGAGTAGGCAATTCTAGCCTCACAGTTTTATTCCAATGGAATAAACTAACGAAAAGTAAGAAATAGAAAACTACCTGTCGAGAGACAATGAATAATTTGATTAAGCACCAAACAAACGTCAAGTCGCTACATACACAATTGTAAATAAAGATGACAATAAATACTTAAAAAGAAAAAAATAGAATTCAACTACTTACCTATTTAGCTGGATAATAAGTATAGGTGGTGCTCGATAAATGGTACATTTTCTCATAGCTGCTCGAAGCTGATGACAATTTTCACATTTATATGCATTTTGACCTGATAACTCTTCGCTACGAACATAATTACACAGACATTGCTGAAAGGAGATAAAAGGGGAAAAGTTTAATATGGTTTTAATTGGTAACAAGAAGGAGAAATCGATGCAAGACAAAAGGATCAAGCATTGGGTTCAAAAGAAAATTTATTGTATAGCTAAGAGCATTGACAAGTTAAAGCTGAATTATATCAAAGAAACATTCTTTTTCGTGAGGGCGAACATTGAACTATTTAGAGTGTTTGGGAAGTTTTGGCTAGTTGTTTTAAAGTTAGAAGGAGATGGTATAAGAATTTAAGACAAATCAATGATGTAACTAGTGAGAACGTATATTCTAAAATCAATTTGTGGAACTTAGCAAATACAAACTCATTTGCTCGGATTTAGAACACATTAGGAATCTAAGGCATAGAGATTATACCCGATTGGATAAACTAAAGTAGATGGACAGGGGATTTGAATTCCCGGAAATCTGGTTGAAAGTTGAAAACTTTCACATCCACGCGGAGTCACCGCCGCTTCCAATTCTAATAAATGAACAAAGCAACCTATCGCAACAAAATACAAACCAGTTGTGTTACCACACATCGTATTGATTAGTTGCTTAGTGCATAATAAGTTGAGCTGATTCCGAATTGGTTACTGACTAGTTTGTTGGTAGCCAATTACTGAAAAACTTGGCATTCAAACACAAGGGTTGACACTGTTTATTTCTCATGAAAACACCTTGATATAAATGAAGGCAGTGTGCATGAAACAAAGTAGAACTAGACAGATTGCTAAACCTTATACGCTAACAGCAACACGGTAGGTAACGTAAAGTAACAAAATGAAATTAATAATACCAACAGTAGTGGGAACACAGTTTATAAAAAACAAATGAAAACGCAAAATAGAAGCTTGTGATTTAGAGGAAGTTGATGAACGAACGTAACTGAATCAGCTTAATCGATTTTGAATCACGTGAAGTTTCACGCTCTGAATGATGTGGACCTTATAGGACGCCGGCTGAGGTTTAAAGACACCTTTGGAGAATTACTCGCATATATTAGGGTCACCGAGTGAAAAATACTGTGGTTAGGTGCAACGTACAAGGTAAAGATGGTAAAGCGATTAATGAAGTGAATGCCCCCAAATGCCCTGGTACGGCCGAGAGTGGGGAGAGTTAGCTCTCCCTCTCGAAATGCTCTCATACGGCCACGCGTATATAGCCTCTGCCAGGGAAGTCCTACTCACTGCCTTCTTGCAGCATTACCGTTGTTTAGGAAATTGAGAGAACGACAAGCGCTCTAACAGGGGTGCTGGACACGGAGAGTCTATCTAGGGGATTTGGAAAACCCTGGTTCCAAACCAATGATGCACATGGGCTCCAGGATCCTAAACGAACAAATGACGTATGAAGTAATCGTGGGTCACCGGCTACCATGGGACTACATCACCTCACGATGCTCAACTGCCTTGTGGATTAGATCTTTAGGTCAAATGCTCGGAGTGTGGCCCCTTAAGAAAACTACCTGTTTCGGTTTGGGCACCCGGACAGTATCACAGCCCTTATACAAATCGAATGATTTATGTGGTGCATACCTATTTGGTGCCTCCTTGTACCAATGTTTATGTGCTTAAATAATAATGAAATCAATGTTCAATATATTACATATGGTTAATCATCGCCTACTTTGATGAGCAATGTTACTCAATGTAGAGATAGGATGGAAGGGAATTAGGGGCTGGTAATGGGCCATGAAATTATTGTGACGACTGGTTGGACTTTAGGTTACATGGCTGAGAATTGGTTTTAACGGCACGGATCCATTCACTCTTTATCTTTTCTTACATTTTAAGTTTCGGAATTATCTTACACTTTTTTCACTCCGTAAATTCATTCTTTTTTTCGAAACTTATTATCTATACCTAATTTTCCCTACTACCACTGATAGTGTTAAAACTTATACTACATTGACTGGTGTGGTGCAGCAGCTTGGACCCATGTATATGTGCTGGGTTTCTACATTGCATATGAGCGATGCTACGGATTCAAAGTTAATTATTTTATACACTAACGCCGTGTCTGTGTCTGGATGTCCCAAGTATTATTATTTTGATCAAAATTGCAGCAGAGGTTGGTTGGAACGTGCGTGACCACCGCCTAACTCGACGGACGATGTTGTTTGGTGTGGGAGTAGGCTGAAAGATAGGGGCGGTCAGATCAGAACATGGTGCCAATCCATGAAGTCATCCACATTTGGACTGAGTCATGTTAATAGGTGTTAGGCTACATGGTTGGAGGCCGCCTGACCATTGTAACCGGTGATCAAATAATTGAAATAAAATGGCCCAAAATTATTTGTAATGGCACAGGTGCATTCATTCCTTGTCTTCCCTCAAATTCTAGGCTTCTGAATTCTACAAAATTTTTCCTATCTTATCATAATATTATATTTTCTCAAATCGTATCTTCGATGCCTAATCTCTTCAACCACCGCTGATACTGACACTGCCTAAACCATTTGCGGATTTATCCCAACAATTTCATTTCACTGTGTTAATAGGGGATGATAACTTGGACCGATGTACATAGGTGCTATGTTCTATGCTGCGATTGAATGACTGAATATTGCAATATGTCGGACTACTTAGCATTATTTTATTGCAAAGTTAGAAAGAACATTCAAAAAAGAAAGAAAATAGATTAACCTGTAAACTTCGAGCGCAAGTGATATCCATAGACAGATTAAAGCATTGTTCATCCCGCGCTGAAACTTTGAGGCAAGAATGACATGTCACTGGAATACAATAAAAAATATGGATGTTTAATAATAGTAATGACTAGTCCTTTAAGAATATTTACAAAATGATTCGCTATTGAAATGAATGCTTTAAAAAATCGGAATACGCTGTGTATTAACACTTAGAAAGTTGCAGACAATTTTCTTACCTTCTGAACGTATTACGCCACCGAAAATCCTCCTGATGACATTTGTTTCAGATAGTTTACGAGACACTTTACCTAAACCTGCCAGTGAACTATCTTCCATTCTTGATAAAAGTCCAAGTAGAAATTCATGTGCATCTTCTTGTTGATAAGGACGAAGACTGGGACAAATAGCTAGAGAAGGGAGAGAGAGATGGTTAATAAGACAAACTAAATTACACTTGACAACAGATAGAATAAGTTGTTACTTGCATAATACATGTTGACATTTCCACATAAACGTTAATCAGGATTATAAAAATTACTTACTTATTCCTGTTAGCCCTCGTGAAAAAGCATAGGCCGCCCACCAGCATTTCACATCGAACTCTGTTCTGGGCAATCCTTCCAACTTGTTTACAGTTGTTATTCATTCTTTTTATGTCTGTTGAAAATTCCCAACGCCTTTCTTAATTACTTTTTCCTTCAGGATTTCAACTTGAGACATGCCTCGTGATGTAGTTTGACGACTTACGCAATGCATCTCTCATCCACCACCAACGTCTTTTCTATATTTCCTCTTCAGACGGAAGCTGTTTTGTCTTCGCACACAGTAGGCTGTTAATAATGGCATCCGATTAACATATATTGAGTCTCTTGCATAAATACTTTTACTTTTTGACGATGGTTGCAGTTCACCAAGTTTCAGTTGCGTTTTGAGTTCCATATGTTCTTCAACTGTTGGGATGTTGTCCTTGCGTTGCCAATCCCTGCCTCTACATCTGCATCAGATCATTCTTGTTCATCGACGATGCTGACCAGGAACCTGAGGGTCTCCATATCTTCCAGGGCTTTCTCTTCAAGTGTCATTAGGTTGGTGCTCGCTGTGTTGCATTTCAGGATTTTGAGCACTTACTCGTGCGAGTTGAGACCTATTGATGCAGAGGCTGTTGTAAAATTGTCTAGAACAGTTAGCTCCTCTGAAAAGTCCAAATCGTTTAGCTGCACACAAGCTGTCCATTGTATTCCATTCTTCTTATGAGATGTCTTCATAATCTAATCGACCACCGGAAGAAAGAGAAAGGATGAGAGTGAGCACCCATATCTGACTCTGGTCCTCACACAAAATGCATTTGTCCTCTATGCATGACTTTGCACTGTAGTCCGGTGTATTGATTCCGCATGGTGTTGACGATTTCCTCAGCTACACACACCATAGTGTCGAACAAGTTTTCATAATGTTCTCCCATCCACACTGCCAAACCCTTTCTCATAGTCGAGGAAGTTGATGTTAGTGACGAGTTCCATACAATTGATTGTTCAAAAATGATCCGTAGTGTCATGATGTGGTCTGTGCACTACCTATCCTTATGGAATCCAGCCTGTTGATCTCGAAGTTGAACATCGAATGAAGCCCTCATCCTACTCAGAAACACTGTTGAAAACTTTTTCTGCTACCGGCAATAGTGTGATGTTTGTGTAGTTCTCACACACTTGCTCAGATCTCCTTTCTTTGGTACCTTGATGGGATATCCTTCTTTCCAGTCTGTCGACACTTGTTCTTCCTCCCAAATCTTCCTGAATAGAATGTGGAGCATACTTCCGCTGACATGTCTTACTTCAGTGCTTCGGTTGGCATGTTGCGATGTACTGCTGTTGCTTTCCCACTCTTGATTTGTCTGATGACCATCCTGATTTCTTCGATCGTTGGAGTGACATCTATGGGGAGGTCTGGAGGTGCTGCCTCGATATCCGGTAGGTTCGGTGGCGCTGGTCTATTGAAGAGTTTCCCAAAGTTTTCTGCCAATCTTTTCTTCTGTTCTTGGATCTCGGTGATCGGCTTGCTTTCTTTGTCTTTGACAGATTTCTCTGGTTTACTATATTCCCCTACCAGTTTCTTCGTCGTGCCATATAGTTGTTTCATACTGCCTTCAGCTACCACTGCTAGGTTTTCTAAATAGTTCTTTTTGTCGGCTCTAATGCTTTTCTCACTTGTTTGTTTGCGTGTGTGTACTCAGCTTGTGACCTGAATTTCTCTGTTCTTGTTCGACTGTTGTTAATTGCTATCTTCTTGTTCCTTCTTTCTTGAATCTTGTCTAAGGTTTTCATAGAGGTTTATTAATTATGATGATGCTTGTTGAGGTCCAGCACCTCTTGACATGTTAAAGTTAATGCTTTTTTGATCCTTTGAGTTGTCCTCTATAGTGATTTTTCTTCGTTCACTAGATCAGGTAAGGTTTGGAACCTGTTGTTGAGAGTTATCGTGAGTTCGTTAAGTTTGTCAGTATGTCGAAGGAAGGCTGTATTGTACAAATTAATTATATTCTATTAAAGATATTACACTATTAGATTTAATTCGTTTTAATGTTTATTGCTTACCTCGAACATTTGTTACAAAGTAAGAAGGAATTGTACGTCCATTTTGAGAATGATGTTCATTAATAAGACGGGAAAGACCGCATAAAACACAAAACCGAGATTTGTTTAAGCTTGGAATGCTGGACCGACCACTATTTATAATACAACTACCAGGGTTTGAATGTTTATGGTTAATATATGCAAGTAGAGGTCCAGTAGCCAAAATACATTGAAGTACAGAGTTAAGATAACATGTATTCCCAGAGTTACCAAATCCCAAAGCTCTTTTTGGAATACAATGAGCACCAGTTTGACACAAATGATCAAGTTCATCATCAGAACATAGGAGTTTAGTTTCAGTGGAACCTGGAGATTAATTATAAGAACAGTTAAAAAAATTACATGATAAACATAACTAGATAATTAATTTTCTCAAAATACTAAAACGAATTTTTTTTATATCATTCAAAATGAAGAGAGAATATTAATTTAGGAGTGATAATTTTATTATTTTTTTCCCATCTCTTATGAAATCCCCCCCTTTAGGCTAGGTCGAATAAAGAAATGATAGTATAGTAACCGTGTGAAAATATCGATTTTCTTATTTTTTTATCTCACACAATGACAGGAAAACATTTTGCATAAGTGAATCAATTTCATTACCTAAAAATAGAAGAGATAATCTTAATATCCAACCTAATTAATTAAGACTAACTATAGTTCAACTCGTTATTAGACAGTTATGACCGATGTGATTATTTGATTTTCAGAGGTGATCAAGTGTGTTTGTTTAGCAATCATCAAAACTGACTGGATAGGTGGAAGTGGTCAGTAGAGAACCATAGGGTTTAAGTTTTATGTTTGCTGATATATATTATCACATCATACCCAGAATCCTCGAAAAGAATTATAAACTAAAAATTGGGAAAGCTATCAATAGTTATATCCTGGTGGGCGGCCTATGCTTCTTCGCGAGAAGTAACATGTGTAAACAAAAATCAATAGTAATCAAAATTTAAGGAGTAAATTATACAACCTTGTTGATCATTTAATTTTACAAGACTGATTGCAAATAAATCAACTTAGCGTTTATGCCCTTGATTAGAAAGCTAAGCCACAATACATTTGAATTAATGACGTAATGGCTTTCCTTAAAGTTGCTAATAACTCACAGGTAGCTTATTGCCACATGCTTTTTCAATGATAGTGTATATGTATAATGGTCAAACTAATGCTTAAACGTAAACTAGAAAACACATTCATTTTAGCTGTTTTTGCTACTCCTTTTCTAGAGATTATACATGACTACTAACATTCGGAAAACAACTCACAAAGGTGACTAATTCTCTTGATTATAACACTTCAAAGAACTGGTTAAATTGTTGTAGAAATTGAAATGTGGCAGTAAAAACTTAATTCACAAAAAGAAGTAATTACCAGATTAATTCTGCACTTATGAACCATAAGAGTAGTTGTACTACTCTAAGAAAAACTACAATTTTAGGATGAGTGGATGTGTTTGATGAGATAACTTGATTAATATGTATTTACTTACTTACTTACTTTCGCCTGTTACTCCCAATGAAGCATAGGCCGCCGACCAGCATTCTACAACCCACTATGCCATGAGCCTCCTCTTCTACTTATATTCAGTTCTTGTTCATTCTTTTCATGTCTGTCTCTATTTCTCGGCGTAATGTGTATTTTGGTCTTCCTCTTCTCCTTTGACCTTCAGGATTCCATGTGAGGGCTTGTCTTGTGACACAATTGGGTGATTTCCTCAAAGTGTGAACTATCCACTTCCAGCGCTTCCTCCTGATTTCTTCCTCCGCTGGAATCTGGTTTGTTGTCTCCCACAGTGACTTGTTGCTGATAGCGTCTGGCCATCGGATCCGAAGTATCTTGTGTAGACAGCTGTTAATAAACACTTGTATCTTCTGGATAATGACTTTCGTAGTTATCCACGTCTCCGCCCCATACAGAAGAACTGTCTTGACATTTGTATTGAAAATTCTAACCTTGGTGTTGGTTGACAATTGTTTTGAGTTCCAGATGTTTTTCAGTTGTAAGTATGATGCTCTTGCTTTGCCAATCCGCGCCCTCACATAATATGTATTTACATACAGTGAATTAAAGCCAAGTACCACAGAAAAATATATTTGATAGAACACTCACCAAAGACATTTCTCTTATATCCTTGTATCCATTTTAGTCACATTTCTTGAATGGAAGTTATGAGATGGTAAGGTTTGGAATTAATGGATCTTATTATTCATATTTAGATTAGATGAGGTACCAATTTTATTTTATTTTGTTAATTTTAGAGATAGTGTTGGTCTTCTCTCCAAAAAGTAATCACAAATGTGTAATTTCAACCTTAAACAGCCTAGTAAACGAATAATGAATGAACAATTTAGTAGATATGAAGAGTTTCTACTAGCGATATTTGCTTGTCTTCATACATAAAGGTTTTAGTATCTTGTTTTAGATATTATAAATAAAATTAAGAAACAAATTCTAGTGGAAAGTGGGAAAAAAAAGTAAAATTTTATACGTCAAAAGCGACTGTAGTGCACTGCATATGTACGTCAAAGGCTTTCTGAATGGTAATAAAGAAATCATGGTATCAATGGTCAATAAATTTATTTGCGTCTTTAACTAGATACTGTTTTAATGGACAGCAGTGAATGGACGTTCATGTGATCACCGTATTCTGACTATTTGGGTTAAATTATCGATGGGTGCTGATATAGTTCTGATAGTAAGAGTAAACCAATAGACCAGTGGAATACAATCATCATTATTTAACGATAAGGGGATTGTTATACCTCGGTATAATTCCTCTCAATATTAGATTTATTTAGCATGTCACTGATGGACGGACAGTGCCAAACTATTAGAAGACACATGAAAATTTAATTTTGAAATAAATGAAATCAGATGTAAGATTATAGCCATCCTGAACACTTAAAAAACTCAGCAGTAGGTTTTAAAGCTAAATGTGTAATAATGGACAATTATTAGATATTTCTATAAACAAAAGACATACTTTTTTTGACAGCTTTACATTCTTCCGAATCTGTCAGAATCAAGGATCTGGGCAAACTTTGGATTTTCTGCTTGATTACTGAATCCAGAGGAGGGGCTGACGATTCATGGAAAGACAAAGGTCGTTGAGACAATTTTTCTGTATAATTTGATATATGGCCGTTTAGCGGGACTGTAGATGACTTGAAGGATAGACGTAAAGCGTTATCCAAGTTATAGGAAACTAGTTTAGAAGCGGATATAGATGACTCGGACTTCAGAAAATTAGTAGTAGGCCCATAATCATTATTCGGAGATGATTGATGGTTGAATCCCAACACTGACCCATCAGAACCACAATCGAAGTGCTGGAAATTCTGCGTAACAGGCTTGGGCAAATGATATGAAACATTGGGGACTACAGATGCAGTAGACGACATTGGTTTACTGAGAGGTTATGAGATAAATTGAGGAGTACCAATGTTAAAGAAATGTAACTGTCATTGTAAATAATAGTCTCAAGATCACTGACTTGGGGAATTGAGAAGTAGATTGAAAATTGTCTGAAATCAAAAGAATTAAATTTGTTACATCTTATTTCCCCAAAAATAAGACACACACATAGTATTTAACTGCCTTTGATGATAGACTATAATATTGTATACTATGGACACATATCCCGACCGTTGCTGCTACCTTGACGTGGTGGTCGGGCTTGCCTATCGTGATGAAGCAATCGAGCTATGCTGGCTGGAACAATCGTTCCTCGAGGTCCTACCATGCCAGTCAGGTCGGTTGAAGAGCGGTCAGACTAAAAGCAGCAATCCCAAGATCCGAAGGCGAAGTCGTACTGTTGACTGTACAGAGGTGTGACAGCAGTAAGGTGTTTCCTTCAGACGACCAGCATGACAGGGATGCTGCCTTCCCACAAGGAGGGGTGGGGTTAGAAAAGGTCGACCCTAAAAATGCACACCTCGCCTTATCCCACGGATTTCCATCTCCGGCGGTAAAGTCCTTTGAAGAACGGAGCTAACACAAAAACTGCCCACAAAAAGGTCGTGTGTGACCGACCTCAAGCAGTTGTCCCTTGGGCACTGCGGTCACGCTCTCAGGTCATTAAGACCACTTCTAACCCAATTTCCTTTTCAGGTACCTCTAGAAGAACCCTTCCACGGTGTGGGCAACCGGGAAGTGATAACTGCCCTCATACCTCTAACAGCACTCAAGACCACTGTATTCATAATCAATCTCCTTCTTCAATTCCTACTATTCCTTCTACCTTGACTTTCAACACTAAACTTCCTCTCTCGGTTTCCTCCTCAAGTGTCACCATGGCCAACGATTCTAGTGCGCGAAACGCTGTCCCAGGTCTACTAAAACCTCGCTCCAAACTACACATTGGAGCCTTCAACGTACGTACCCTATGCAAAATCGGTCAACAGGCCTCCTTAGCTAAAACCCTAGAATCTCGTACCATTGATGTATGCTGTGTCTCCGAAACACGCATACAGGATCCCAGTGTGGTCATTCACTTGACCTCACCTCGCCAAAATGGACAGCCAACGAAATACACCCTCCGTGTATCTGGCGACCCGTTGGCTAGTTCTCGTGGACTTGCAGGTGTAGGCATAGCACTAAGTACAAGGGCAGAACAGGCACTACTAGAATGGATCCCCGTTAACAGTCGCCTGTGTGCTGTCCGGCTAAATGGCTCCGTAAGAACTCTGAAGAACAGGGACACACGTCGTTGCCTTTTCGTCGTTTCTGCCTACGCTCCCACTGACTGCAGCCATGATGAAGTGAAAGATGACTTTTACAGAAAACTCTCTGAGCTTCTTCAGAAAGTTAAGCGCTCAGACATAGTAGTCGTAGCGGGTGACTTTAATGCCCAGGTAGGCAGCTTAAATCAAACAGAAAGACATTTAGGTGGGTGTTTTAGTATTCCGGCTCAACGAACCGATAATGGTGATCATCTGTTGCAACTATGCTCAGACAATCGTTTATTTCTAGCAAGCACTAATTTTAAGCATAAGGAGAGACATCGTCTAACATGGCGACCACCTGCACCAAACCAACGTCGGACTCAAATAGACCATATTGTTATCAGTCATCGTTGGAGAGGCTCAATAGAAGATTGTCGCTCGTATTGGAATACTTGTTTAGACTCTGATCACGCTTTAATACGAGCGCGCATTTGTCTGCGCCTCAATGGACGCAGGAAAAGTACACTAAGAAGACCCATTAGGATTGAACTGGAGGACGAGAAAGCCAAATGAGAATTCCAGAAACAACTGAGTTCACATCTAGGCAGTTCTGTAAACAAGACTGACACAGATGCTGCTTGGAAAGACATACGAACAGCTGTGGAAACAGCAGTTACATCTATTAGTCATTTAAACCATAGGGCTTCAAAAAACCAATGAATTTCTTCTAAGTCTATTTCACTGATGGATTCGCGTAAACTCATCCCATCAGGCTCTGAACATGACGAAGAGCGTAAAGAAATTAGATCTAGGTTAACTAAAAGTCTAAGGAACGATCGTGAGCAGTGGTGGGCAACGAAAGCAAAAGAGATGGAAAAGGCAGCGGCTGTAGGCAACACCAGACAACTATTTAGGCTAATAATAGAAACCGGAGTTAATAAGTCAACTGTAAGTGAGACAATCTCCGAAAAAGACGGAACCCTTATCTGCTCTCAACCTAAACGTTTAGAACGATGGGCGGAACACTTTAAGGAGCAGTTTAGCTGGCCTTCAGCTACTGCACAACTACCCACTATTCCCAGAAAACCTGAATGGAACATTGAAGTAGGCCCCCCCGACCCTACTTGAAGTTCAAAAGGCTATAGGTAATCTGAAACGAGGAAGAGCAGCTGGTCCTGATGGATTGGTTCCAGAGGTCTTTAAATATGGTGGTCCAATTTTAGCGATTAGGTTGACTAATATTCTGGCTAAAATCTGGGAGACGGATGTAATCCCATCCGACTGGTCACAATCGCTGATTGCCCCAATATATAAAAAGGGGTCAAAATCATCCTGCGATAACCATAGAGGGATTAGTCTGACTAACATAGTATCTAAAATACTAGTCTCAATAATTATCGAGCGCCTAACTAAGACTCGTGAACTACAAACACGAGAAAATCAGGCTGGCTTAAGACCTGCTCGTGGCTGTATCGACCACATATTCACCATTCGTCAAGTTTTAGAGCACAGACACGCTTACCGGCGTCCGATAATGATAGTTTTTCTTGACTTGAAAGCAGCATTTGACTCTGTAGACCGAGAGGTTCTGTGGCAGTGTCTGTCATTGAAAGGTGTACCTGAGAAGTACATAAACCTTGTGAAGGCTGTTTACTCGAACACTATTAGTCGAGTGAGAGCTTATGGCGAACTGTCATATGATTTTGCAACCTCAAGTGGTGTCCATCAAGGCTGTCCACTATCCCCATTTTTGTATAACTTCATTATAGACCTGTTGCTGGAAATAACACTCTCGTCGACTGAATTTACAGGAATTGATCTCCTACCAGGGGGACCACTAAGCGACTTAGAATAAGCAGATGACATAGTCCTGTTTGGTGAAGATGCTGGCAAAATGCAGTCTTCTGTTGGAACTCAGTAATAATGCCAGGATGTTTGGGATGTGTTTCTCCCCATCCAAATGTAAATTGTTACTCCAGGACTGGCCTGCGTCAACACCCGAACTAAGGATAGGGAGTGAAGTAGTCGAACGCGTCGACAACTTCACTTATCTTGGAAGTCTGATCAGCCCTAATGGGTTGGTGTCTGACGAAATCTCAGCACGGATTCAAAAAGCTCGTTTGGCTTTTGCCAACTTATGTCACCTATGGCGAAGATGAGATATCCGTCTATCAATTAAGGGACGAGTATACTGCGCATCAGTTCGCTCTGTTCAACTTTACGGCTGTGAAACATGGCCATTAAGAGTAGAAGATACTCGTAGGCTACTAGTATTTGACCACAGATGCCTTAGAATTATTGCTCGCATCTGCTGGGATCACCGGGTAAGTAATAGTGAGGTTAGACGCAGGGTATTAGGGAACGATGGTAAATCAGTTGATGAGGTGATGAATCTTCATCGACTGAGATGGTTGGGCCATGTGTTACGTATGCCTGAACTCTGATTACCACGACGCGCTATGCTGACTAGTGTAGGGGATGATTGGAAGAGAGTTAGGGGTGGCCAAACCAAAACATGGCATCAGTGTTTGAAGTCACTAACTTCTAGTCTGAGCCATGTTGGCAGATGCAGACTACTTGGTTGGGGTCCGCGTGACTATCGTAACCAATGGTTGGAGACTCTGTGTGACATGGCTCAGAATCGATCACAATGGCGTAGGTGTATACACTCTTTATCTTCCCTTAAACCTTGAGATTAAAATTGCTTCATATCTCCCTTCCTGTACTATATCCTTATATACAACCTTTCTTGATATACTACCACCACTAAATTAATTACTTCTATGAATCCGGTCTTGTTGTGCTAACGAGGTATGGCAACTTGGACCGTTGCATATATGTGCCTGGTCCTACGTTGTAGCTGACTGACTGGACACATATCGACTAAAATAACTAGTTGGATTCAATATCGACGGTCTGACTATAAATATAATCCACTAACAAACAAGATACAAGCATTGTTCCAAGTTGATGCAACACTTCAGTATGGTGAAGTGAAATTAGGATGAATTCAAAGTCAAAATAACAGTAGTATCATTAAGCATGAGAAATACTGAAAATGGGAAAGTACGGTTCTCAAACGAATGAATTTTGTCAACAATTAGAGGATATGCAGTAAATGCATTTGTGATATCTAAACTGCTTCCGAGTCATGTTACACTACATTCTTAACAACCAATGACTTTATGATGGTTTGGATGTCCGTAGCTTTCAACTTACTTTTATATCTGCTAACACCGAGCAACATGGTAGGAGGCATAACATATATTCCATTTGCCTTAGTCAAGGAAGTTTCACGACCTAATCAACTTGTTTCATGATACGTGAGGAATGCTTTGAAGGGGAGTATGATCAAAAACTTGCAACTTAAGAATATCTCCAATTTTCATAAAGCATATCCCAGCCACCAAGTAATACAAAGTGGACCGCAGTATAATTGCACCTTCACAGGGAGATGGACATCTCGCCTAATACACTAGTAACCCAAACTGGCAAAAGTCAAGTTTCTTGTTTTAAATCCGTACCGATACTTTATCAGCCAAAGATCCATTGGAGATTATAAGAGGTTAAAATGACTTATTATTTCACTTTCTACGAACAGAAATACTGATGCACACTAGTTTCAAAGTGACAGAGAAACGTATTTTCAGCTTTTTGAAATGGTACTCAAGAGGTTTAGAAGATAGCATCTTGTCCGCATTCTCGTCGAACAGAACTATATTATCTACAAGTCGATAAGTGAATCTTCTGATAGGTTGATTACTGAAGTCAAAGCGTTATTTTTGAAATACCTGAGACAGAAATAAATAAAGATGGACAAATCGTGGGGCTCTGACGAATGTCACTTATCATTGTTAGTTGGCATGACAATTTGCCATAAACTCTGACTCGGCTGTGTTGTAATAGTCTATAAGAGGTTCATTTGCCTCTTGGATAGACGTTTGAATGACTTAGGAAACAAACAGACCAACGCCAGTTATGAATAACGTAGAATCTGGCATATATCAGCATATCAGCACAGCGAGATGAAATTATCAAGATGAATACCGGAGTGGTAGTAATGTTAGTAGTAGTAGAAAAGATTACGGATAGATCATGGAATAAACAGTCCAAAGTTTGAAACTCAGGATCTAGGAATAGACAAGAAGCAAATGCATCACTATCATTGTGACCGTTTTTGAGCCGTCATTCAGTACCTTTAACCACTGATCAATGGGGTCAAATGTAGTCTTAATGACACAAAGTTTATTGAGTGGTGCGACTAAAAATAAAATGTAGACTGAACAAGATGGTTGTTGATGTTCGTGTAAAACAACTTTGGAAGAATAGTTGTTGTTTTCCGATTTTCAGGTATACTAATGACGTATTAACATCAGAAGGAAGTATAGGTGAACATGGAAAGTGATAAACAATTGTTAGTTGGTAATTTAAAGACTTTAGACATGCACCACATTTCTGATGCATAACGTTCACAAAGCAAACTGATTATGATTATTTAACGCGAAACTATAATTATACTATTTTGTAAAAACTTAGTTACGTCTGAGCACCAAAAATAGTGTTACACATAAACAGTAGTTGGTGAGATTGAATGTCGTCCAAAAGTTTTATTTACGGTGAAATCAGCAGTCAGGTGGCATTGTTAGGCACCTAAAGTGTATGTAGCCCGTAGGTCAATACATGGTGGTTTACTGACTTGCATAAATGACGTGTAATCAGCATGCCAACTCATAGAGTCTGAGGTGTAAGATTCTAGATAATGTCATTTTAAATAAATGTCTTAACGTAGAACCAGATGGGATCGTTTAAATCCCACCCTGACACACGCTTTGCTTGTAAATGCCCTAGTATGGTCGAGAGTGGGGATAATCTGCTCTCCTCGAGATGTTTTTACATAGCCACATGTATACAGCCACTGTCAAGGAAGTCATACTACATTCTTGTGACGGGGTTTTTATCTACGAAATTGAGAGGACAGAAAGCGAATGTCCAGGGCTTTAACCGGGTTGGTGGGTACGGTGGAACCACCTGAGGAAGTTGGAAAACCTTGATTTCGAACCAATAGTGTACATGGGCTCCAGAATCGTGAGGGAACAAATGACACATAAACCTATTGTTGGTCACCGGCCACCATGGGGCCGCATCTGACGTTGCTCTATAACTTTGTGGATTGGACCTCTAGGTCAAAGACAAGCGAAGTTACCTGGGAAAATCACCTGCTCCAATTTGGATGCCCAAGCAGTATTCCAACCCTAACACAAATCGAATGATTTGTATGGCGCATATATATTCGGTGCCCGTTTATACATATATTTACGTTTAAATAAATAAGCCCATACGTAACAAAAGTGGGTAAAACTATAATTTACGGACAAACCAATCAGATTTAAGACAGGTTTTAGATTTTGGCGCCAAACTTATTTACTTATATGTTCGAATAGCACTGGAATTATAGCTGGTGTTAGTTGGTGATGAAAACCCTAATTCCTCACATTGAATTGTAACCATCAGTCAACTTAAGGTTGTTGGATTTTGTCAAGGTCACTGGCGTCGCCCAAAGGTCGTCAGTAAACTATAGTCCTGGTATGACGTAATAAAACGCAATAAAAATGGAGTGGGAACATACGTAAAATATGATATCGGAGGATAGGTAATATTTGGATATGTCTTTGTGATTGATCTCCCGACCTTGAGTGTAAAACTTCCATCCACTGCTACTTGCGCTCTCAACAACCCTAAATTAGGATTCTACTACACTTCAAACAGACCAATAGTCACACAAAAACATGTATAGTAAGGCCTGACACGAAGTAGTGTCCATAAGGGTCATAATTAGGGGATCAAATTCTATAGGAGTAAGACGATAATTATAGCGACAACAGCAACATAGAACTGAAAATGGCTGTAAAAAAAAGAAGATAATACTCAGGACTTAGAGAAAAAATAGGTGAGTCATTTGAGAATAAAACAGGGACAATTACAACAACTACACAACACGTGTCGACAACAGTAAGTGATGAGTAATGCAGAAGGAATATTAGAAACATTAGTTTTATAAAGGAAGACAAGAACGCACGACACCAAACAGAAAACAAAGGGAACCTATAACAATTCGAGAGCCTATTAATATCTTGATTCATCATGGCGCTCGGATTAAATATTATTATGCATGGATTTGTTAGCGCCATGGTACTAATCAGAACTCAGTAACTCGTGTTTAAGTCCACTGTAACGTATACCCATGAGCCTAGCTTACCACTCATAGTCGAGGAGTACCTGTTTGAGAGTGGGTGTCCAAACACGAAAGTAAGACGACCACGATTTCCGACAGCGTACAATGAACTACATCTGTTAAGCTAGCAAGAAAAAATCGCACAAGTAAGAACAGTTCGTGACACAAAAAACCATATTGCACGTCTTTCAAAAAGAAGCCAAAAACTCAAGATATTAAAAGGCTCATACCTATGAAAATAGCCTCGTGTATCACCACACGTCCAAACTCCGAAAGGCCGCGCCCAGACCTTGAGCCCAATGCCAATTCCATGACATCCAATATCCAATATGTTGCTGGTGAGCTAGTTCAAACCGCAAGGTGCATCCTTTTCATTATTTCTAAGTGTCCAAAATTAGTTAAATGAGTTTGGTTATATCAATATAACAACTCAAGTAGATTTAACCTTGGCGCGCTATTTAAAAAAATACTTTGGTATTATTCCTCGTTGAGTCGAATTTACTGTTTCGATAGTAAATTACGCATTCAAACTACTGCCCCTACCTTAATTGAATTTATTTCAGTTAAAGTGATATTGTACTTGTGGGTTCGGCTTTGCTTTTGTGTATCTATTGCATCAAAACGAACATATACAACACGGGCAGACACTCGACTGTGCAACACGCGATAGGGAAGTCTGTCGCGGAATAATTAATCATTGAAGCACCATTAGATACTGGTGGTCAAGTTGCTACAGCAGCAACTGATGATCTAGACAAAGCCATTATCGTCTTGAGTAGTTCTTATGTGGATGCTACGACTGATGAAAAATTAATGACACGGAAACATAGAGGAGGAAGAAAAATAGCTAAAAGCAGCACCTATTTAGTTGTAGGGTCCTTGATGAACTCACACTTTGAATTGCAGATTACTCCGCAAAGTCACAAAGTAAGTCAACATTTAACACTGTCGTAGATGGAAAAGGTTTGGCCTCTTCATACATTGTCGTAAGTCCGAAATTACTTAAATGAGTTTGGTTATATCAATATAACCACTCAAGTAGGTTTAACCTTGGCATGCTATTTAACACTGTCGTAGATGGAAAAGGTTTGGCCTCATCGTACACTGTCGTAAGTCATTCGCTCGACTCCCGCGACTCTGTCAAGAGAAAAAGTAACGGCATGCTGCCAGAAATTAACAGACAGGATCTGACACTACAATCGAAATCTGTTAACACAACTGTCAAAGAAGTGAAACCCGTCACCAGTTCAATTATTTGGAATCCAGACGAGTCGAAAGATGATGACCCTGCTAAATGGCATGCATGCGATCTATGGATAGTGGAATCTGACATCACAAATGTTATACCTACAGAGGCATCAGGAGTGCACATCGTGAAAGTAATAAGACTCGGTAAATAGTTTGGAGGAAAGACCCATCCAAGAAGGATCATGAAATCAATGCTTGTGAATTTCGATGAAAGAAAAGTAATATTGAATGACGCATACAAAACTCCTAATTCAAATATTCTAATCCGACTAGATTGGCCGCTTGAAGACAGAGTCAAGTGGAGGAATACTCTTAAGGAGTTAAAAACTTGGAAGATAAATGGCGAAACAAACCTTACGATTAAGGGTTTTAGGATGGTCAGGTCATAGAAGGCAGTGATTCCGAGACCTGTATGGGCAGAAGGAATGATTCTCAAAACACCTTAAATGTGTGCCACACGAACGCCCCCAGTCATGAAAACAAAATTTTCGATCTAATTTTAATAGTGGATGAATTAAGTTTTGTCACGGAAACTTGGCTCACCGTAGACATAGGCTACACCTACATTAGATGTGATAGAGTTATAAGTCGTAAAAGAGGAGGCATAATGTTTTAAGTTAGGGATCACTTTCGTGTACAATCAATCATATCGGAGGCGCATGTTAGTGAGACATGTGACGTAGCATATTGTACAATTAGGTCTAGACATGGGTTAGTGACTATATCAGGAATATACCGTAGTCCGTGTTGTCTTGCTGACGACTTTACCATGAGACACATCTGTTCTTGAAGTAATGCAGAATGTTGTCTCATCATTGGAGATTTCAATACACGACATATCAGCTGTATAGACCTTACAGCTTCATGTAGAGGTTTCGGCAAAGACATTCTGTCAATCATTATTCAGTGAGTACTTGTACAACGTATCGCAAAACCGATATATACTGACTTGGAACATTATCTCTCATTGTTGGACCTTGTCAAAATACACCACTGTGAGGATGTGTATTGGCATTGTACCCTAACCACACGACCTCTGAAGCCAAGAATATAATTACCAGAAAGCTATATTCAGCAACTAACACGAAGAAGAGGTTAACTGTAGACAGTGCAGGAACATTAATTCAATAAATCGGATGTTACGGATCAGCCCCGCAGACGTGGTCATTCCGTATAACTTGTCTTTACTCACATTAAATGTATCAATCTATCTTTAACCTGAATGTGTTCTTTACGAACTCCAGATATCATATTGTTAATTGTTACGATACGACGAGTCAGTGCAGACAATGAAGTGACTTCCACGTAAGATCTTATAGATTAGCCAGTCACATCACAACATTCCTACAATTTTAGGATTAGGTCTCTCATGAAAGCCGTTGAAGCGTAGGAAACACATATGGAACTCATTCCCGTCAACAGTATGCGAATCATTTAAGTGCGAATACCAAAACTTCCGGACTATATGTAAAAAGACTATAGCTAGATGCCACACTACTTATGGCAGTTGGCATATGATAACTTTATTTATCCGAAACGATTGTTTTCGTGCTTTAACCAGAGAAAAAAATTTACTAATGATATCCCCCCATTACTGTTGCACGAAAATTCAGATTTGCTAGGTGCATCAAATCTGGCAAAAGCTGAGACTTTATCAAACTGTTTCGGCAAAGTCTACCCTATGTGTACTGTTAAAAATACTTGTCCTTATCACACCGTTGAGATACCAGCCATAAGACCTGTATACGTGAGTGAGGAAACCATTATTCCATTGATCATTTATTTGGATATGCTAATAACGAAAGTACATATGTATCATTTGCACTTTCGATACATAGTTTTAAAAGATAAAACAATGTTTAATGTACATCCAGCCTAACAGATTATGTAGATAGTAATCAGTGTTATCTCACTGTCGAATCCATAAACTCACATGAATAAAATATGTTTAGTGTGGCTGGTAAGGAGTCAAAAAATACTAACTTATACTATATACCGATAAAACTGAAACAAGTGAGACTTTCATGATATTCACTATCTCGAGAGAACACGAACATTGCTAAAACATTGAGGGGACGAATAAACGTAAACAATTATGTACCGACAACCTACATGCTAATTTCGTCGTCACAACAAGTCCGACTGGACCAACCAAGGGCTCTGAAAAGCATATAACGCTAAGATCCGAAACGGAAAGCTTAATGATTTTCTGAGAGGTAGATTACATAATTTTTCATAGTGCTTGAGTCAGGTAATTATTTTACCGGCGAATTAGGGATTCATAAGCAAAATTTATGCTAGTAGAGTGGAGGTTTTCATTGTATCCGAATAGCCAGGTAGAGAAATAATGTGACATGAATTGAGTAGACTTGCTTAAAAGACTGGATTGAAAATTCCTCAATTTAAGCAGTTTTCAGCACATAGTGTCAATCTCACTAGATTTTTAAACCATAGTAACTAAGTAAAGAAAGTAAGGCACCTTTATCGTTTGATATATCACCATCTACACCTGGTTGTTAACATAACCTCCCCCATTAAGACTACCAGGACATCTGCATTCTGAAATATCGCATATTTGTTCTCAGATACCTGATCACTTTCTTCCAAAATACTTTCAGATGTTAATGTCAGGTGGCTATGACCTAGTCATTGATGAGTGTGTGAAAATGTTCTGTGTTTGTACCCTCCTAACAATATTGTTACGAGGGTACATTCCAAGCGGATTAATTCATTCGTGATCTTTTAGAGTAACAACGTGATGATTCTAACTTCGTCTGTAGTTCTTATTTCGTTACCGGTCCCTAGCCCAGTTAAAGGAAGAAGATAAGGCATGGAGTCAGCAACCTCATCCCGTAGAAAACAACATTGCTAAGAAAGCGCCCACCAAAATAACAATCTGGTCCACTCAAACTCTGCCCAGGAAATTGTAGAACCGTCACGTAGATGAGACTTGATGCTTCAGTGAGGAAGTCAAGATTGATTAGGAGTTACAAATTTGATACCCCTTTAAACAAAATAATCAAGAAACGACATAGGCACATGGAATGTCTGGACAGTGTGAGAGACTGGAATGATTGGTCAAAATGGTACGGAAACGACGAAATACAACACTATGGTGTTTGAAATAAGTGGAAAAATTGCACACAAGCGGAACAGAAAAGGTTAGATTGTAGTGGCGTGCTTCGTTAATTGATTGCCTCGATAACCGTTATTATACCAATTTTAACGGTGTATAGAGTCAGAAGACAAAGGTAAGCAGCAACTACATTTCTATTGACAAATAACGTGGGCCAGCAAGCTGTGAGCACATGAGCAAATGTTAGCGAGCGAAGCATACATGACACGTATTGGAGATGGTTGGTAAGCCAACTCGCTATAAGCAAGCATTAATCAATATTTATAGTCAGACAAGAATGAATGACAGACATATGATGTGTGCACACACATATGCCCATATAAAAAATAGTCAAGGTTAATAAGCGAATAATTAATGAGATCAAAATATGACTCATAATGGATAGGTGAATTGGCTTGTCCAGAAACTAGAATAAGCTATGTAGGTGTAATATAGTACAAGATGTTACACTACTCCCTGCACCACTAGGAACACACGTCTCTTGTTCTCAATTGCTTGTTGCTATGATAACCGAACTCTAGAATATTTGTTATCTACATTTATAGACAGCAGACATATTTACATCATACACTACATCTGGCTATACTACTGGAATTATAACATCCTTCATTGGAATCACTTATCACCAATAATTGTGGATTATTATAACAAATACAGCTTGAACACGCCAAGGCCTGTTAATTTAAGCAACGTCCTGTAACTTTTCTTTGTGTTTATAAATTATATTTATTATATTATAACATTAATTTTTGGACGTAATAACATTATTGTCATTTTTGGTCCACCACAATTACCTGTTGAACCCGGCGTTTATTTTGCTTGTTATACTGTTGGTTGTGCCTGACTCGGTAGCCTACTTTTGATATGATGTATTCTCCTAATAACTTTTACGATATTTATGGTACCCCTGTAAACACTCCTATTTCATTACCTAAGTGTTTTGACTCATTTTAAGTACAGTTATTGCTATATCTGAATTCGAACTCGCAGCATGTAGTGTAAGACCCATTTTGAAGGTTTCATGTGTGAAAATCCCTCCATGCATACATTTGCAACTTGTTCTTATTAGTT